TACAAGGCCTTTAAAAAAGTACTAATACTAAAACCTATACTCTCCAAAATATTTCAGGAAGTAGAAAAAGAGGTAGCACTTTCAAACTTATTCTATGAGGCCAATATCACTCTTGATTCCAAAACCAGGCAAAGACATATCAAAAAAAGAGAACTTCAGACCATCTCTCTAATGAACATAGATGCAAAAATTCTCAATAAAATTCTGGCAAATCGAATACAAAAACATATCAAAAAGATCATGCATCATGATCAAGTGGGATTCATCCAAGGGATGCAAGATTGGTTCAACATACAGAAATCAATAAATATAATTCATCACATCAATAGACTCAAAGATAACAATCATATGATCATCTCAATAGATGCACAAAAAGCATTTGACAAAATATTGCACCTTTACATGTTCAAAACACTAGAAAAACTAGGGATAACAGGAACATATCTCAACATTGTAAAGGCTATCTACAATAAGCCCCAGGCCAACATCATTCTAAATGGAGAAAAACTGAAAGCATTCCCTCTAAAAACTGGAACAAGACAGGGATGCCCTCTTTCACCACTTCTNGCCACATTCCCAGCCCTATTTTGTATTTTATTTAGAGACAGGGTCTCACTGAGTTGCTTAGTGCTTTGCTTTTGCAGAGGCTGGCTTTGAATTTGCAATCTTCCTGCCTCAGCCTCTTGAGCCACTGGGATTACAGGTGTATGACACCACACCTGGAAAAAAATGCCTACTTTTAAACATATTACTTTGTCAATTAAAAAAGAATAATTAAACTTTTTGAAATTACAAAAAAAAAACCTATTAAACTGGAAAATTCACATTTCTATGATTCTGCCATGTTCTTTCTCTCCATAAAATATCTCTATACCCTCTGCTGCTATGGTCCTTAAGAACTTAGCTCTGGCCTCACCTTCTTAAAAAGAGGGCTTCCTCAGGGAAGGGGCTGGAATTCAGTAGAAGAGCATTTGCCTAGTATGCTTGAGGCCCTGTGTTCTATCTCTAGCACCTCCTACCCCCACAGTGCAAGACTTCCCTAGTAGGGTTTCCTATTTTCCGTGAAAACAGCATACAGAAACTGAAAATCTGTTTCTAAGGACTTATCTTCTCTATCCCAAACTGAATTATGTGTTTCGTAAATTTTTATTCTTCCACCTCAGTACCTAGCCCACAACAAACAAACAAAAAACACCACCTGTTGTACTAGTTATTGTAGGCAATCATTATTCCAAATACTGACCTCAAAATACACCTAAGAGCCCATTTATTATTTCTAGTTTGCCCAAAACAGACAAATAATATGACAAAGATCTTATACAGAGACCACACATAATTTTTTTTTTTTAACTTCAAACGATAGTTTTTCAGTACTTACACAGTCTGAAATAGCAAAGCAAGAAGTGTAGTAGTGAGAGAAGCAGACTGGAGGAAAAAAGGGCTGGATTTAATGGTGGTTAAAACTTTGTAGAAAACAAAGGTCAAAGGACCTAGTTCCAGTTCAGATTAACAGATATTTACTAAAACATGRCACTTGAGAACTTCTAGTTCCCTCAAGCAAATGTTCCTGGCCTTCCTCCAAATTTTTCTAGGTAGCTACATATCTCAGAAGTCCAAAGTTTGAGATTATTTCAGTGGCAATAACAGCAGCTTTTTAAAATTTATAGTTTCTAGGGAAATGAAACATGGCAATGCATAGAAAGTAGCAAGAAAAATTAAATAAACAATGATGCATTTGAGAGCATAGTAACCATGGCCACCTTTGATAAAGTTTTTTTGTTTGTTTAAGGCTCCTTTTAAAAGGAAGTATCTGAGTGAGTAAAATTACATGTTTTTATCTTTTACACACTACAAAGTGTTATGGGGGAGGTAGTACATCAACAAGACTACTAAATGCAAATATGTATATTATTTCAAAAGAAAGGATCACAATTTGTCTACTTATTAGTCTGAATAAAAGCAGAATTATCATTTTCTCAGTAAATATTTGATAAACACTAATTGTGTGCCAGGCTCTCATCTGTCACAGATACAGAGGTGTTAAGGAAAACTTAAAAGAAAAAGAGAAGGCATTCAAAAGTTTAAAAAATGACCTGGAAGTTAACAAGTATGAGAAAATAAGAAGCAGCAGACAGACGGTATTCAATATAGTTATTTCTATAAAGCTAATGATAAGTAAAAGATCAAAATTTACTGGTCTAATTTATCATGCACTAATTAGAATAGTATTTAATTTAATAATCTAAATAAAGAAAGAACCTATAAAGTAATAAATAAATAAACTGGTCATCAGCTCAAAAAAATGTGTGGGGAGAGTGACGGAGAGCTTCTTTTCTATCTTTCAGGAGATACTATAATCTGAACTTTCACCAAATGTTCTTCTGCTGTCCTTCAAACCCTCCATTCCCAACCACCAGCAATACACCAAGCAGAAGGTAAGTGGAAGAAATTGAAAAAGAATTATTAATGCCCTCAAATCCCACTTAAAGATAAGGAGATAATGATTCTGAATCTCAATAGATTTACTGCAGAATATTCTCAAATTTCTCAAGACCTAGATGACTGACTTCTTGATAATCTACAGGATGTTTATCATTATCTCCTAGTCAGTCTCACAGTAGACACTCAACAATACACGGAATGCAGTTTTGAAAAATTTAAATGTAGTTATAAACAACTCCTCCTCAGGAAAGAAAGTATCAGTTACATGGCATGCCAAGAAGTACTGAACAATATATTAAGGTTCTTCCCACTCTATGCTTCATGGAGAAAAAAGTTGTCATAGAGTACCACAGAAAGGAGATAAAAGGCCACCAGGCATCCTAACAGCCTACACTATTCACTACAAACACCCTGCCCTGATATGATGAAAGGTCAAAACATGAGCTTAACCAGGTCAAGCAAAAAGATAATAAAATTCCAGTTCTTTTTGATTATGTGCACTTGACCTAGTRATATCCACAAATGCATCAGCAGCCTAAGGTTACTCCTCATGCATTATGGGCCATGCTATTTGAAAGAGTGGCACTTAGCAATATAAAATTAAATCATGTGCTATTCCAAACTCATTTAAGACAAACCTGTATAAACCTAGAAGTGTTTATTAATCAGTTCCAGAACATGAGAAAATGTTTCATTAAATCCACCAATTTAAAATAAGAAAAAAGGTTTTTAAATGGTTAAAAGATCCTATCTATTACATTTTTAAAAAGTGGGAACAAATGAGTTTTTAAATTCTAAATAATTCAATGAATCAAAATTAGAGATAATGGAGAGAAGTAAAAAACTATTGGCTTAAGCCAGGTGCAATGGTGTATGCTTGTAGTCCCAGTAGCTCAGGAGGTTGAAGCAGGAGAATCTCTTGAGCCCAGGAATGTGAGACATCCCTGGGTAACATAGTAAGAGATCCCCATCTCAAAGAGAGGAGGGGGAAAATACAGATGATATGARTTTAAATTGTACCTAGATAATTTAAAATATCTAGCATAACATATACTCAGTAGAATGTAATTTTGAGATTCCAATTAATAAATTTCTTTTTCTGTGTACACTGTCCTCTAAAGAAGACAAATATACTAAATTTCAAGTTACTAGAGATAATCAGAAAGGAGAAAAATATCACTGGATCTGAGCTGAAAAAAAAAATGGAAGAAAAAGCTAATAAAATTAAGTTGCTTGAAGTCATAGCATTGATAAATGCCAGAAAGATGATCTGAATCCTTATGTGATTCCCAAAGCCTGTGTTCCAATGATCTATGGTGCCAGGAGGAACCTCTGGCTTAACAGATATTTATGGAACATCTAYTATGCAACAAGCACAAGAATACAAAAATAAGTAATATTATGTTTTAAGGAGACTTCAAGTAACTGTCCAATTATTTGATTTGAAACTTGGCCCCCTAAATTCAGTTTAAATGACACTCCCAATACACAGCCATTACATTTCTAAAAGTCACATATTCTAACATACAAGGTATTATTTTCTTATGGGTAATAAGTACCCTTTTAATGTTGAAAGTAATTATAATTTTTTTATTGTAGAACATTATTATAAGAGTAACAAAAGGGACTAACATTCCACACAGACTTTTATGCTTTTAAGGCATCCTTAGTCTTATGCATTCTTATGCATTCTCAAAAGTGTGTGCATGTGAGCATACGCACGTGCGTGCACACACACACACACACACACACACAATTTAAAAAGTAATCTGAGAAAGGGAGACATAAGTTCTAAGTCCAAATTCATTCAGGCACAGTACATTCTCAAATACAGAGAAAGTTTCCTACAGAAATTTTAATCACTTAGAATGTATGAACATTTAAGTGAGTTGATCTAGTCATTCTCAGCAATCTTTTAAGAAAATTCCAAGTAATTCAATATTGCACAATTTGGGGATGTGTGGGCTTAAAAATTAAATGTAGTTCAGTGGAGTAATGCTGGATGAACATCCATAATCATTAATAGATCTGCAAAAGGCTGTGTATCTGATCTTATACTGTTCAATATTTCCTATCATGGACCACAKAAAGACACAGAAACTATACTGAAACTTCAGAAAACCACCAATTTCTTTCTCATCTCTCCTGTTTAGCAAATCGGAACCCACAGCTGGCTATCTATCATACTGAGACAAGGGAGAAGTATAAAAAGCAAGCAGGGCTTTCCAAAACAACTTGAAGGAAAGTCCCATGAAAATGCTCTAATCACATGGACCACAAGAGGAAGTAACACATTCCAGAGATAGGGAACACAGTAAAACTGAATAATTCTCATCATTTACTAACCAATCTATGAATGAAACACAGGTGAAGATTTTGATCACTTTGAAAGAAATAATAACCAAGAATATTCAAACTTCAAAACCCTTCAGATAAAGCAAATCCTGTATAAATAGGAAAGAAGTGATTTTCCATAACACTGCCGACCTCTGACCAAGTAAAATTAAGATCAAACCATTTTAAGTTAAGATTTCTCTATAGATAAAAATTATACTTACCACAATCCACTCAGCAATGTTTTCATAAAGCTCTGGACTAAAAATTGCTTTTTTAAGCCTAGCTAGAGGACCATCAGCATCTACTAATCTGCACCGCATGAAAACATCACAGTAGCCTCTAAAATCATTGCAAGGGGATCCAGGTTGCAGAGTGATGGTTCGACCATTGAACTGCTTGCTCCACTGTATAGACCCTGTGCTGGCACAAGTTGATGGATCCACTGGAAAAGAAGTGCCAAATATAAGTTAAAGAATAATTTCTTAACGGACCAGTTAAGGAAAAGGGAAAGAAGAAACAGCCTAAAATCATTACCATGACACAATAAATAGACCTTTCTAGTTCAGCTGAGTAATGTCATTAATAATTCACCTTAATGTTTCAATATAAACAAACAACCAGCAAGTCTTATGTCTATAATGAATTTAAAACTTTCTAACCATATTTGTATAAATTACTGCCATAATGCTAGCCATGTTTTGTCTAGTGTATTATTAAAATAGTACATTTTAGGCAAGATGGGTGCAGTGATGCACACCTGTGATCCTAGCAACTTGGGAGTCTGAGGCAGGAGAATCACAAGTTCAAGACCATCCTCAGCAATTTAGTCAGATCTTCAGAACTTAGCAAGACCATCTCAAAAACCAAAAAGTGCTGGGGATGGAGCTCAAGGTGTAAAGRTGCCCCTGGGTTCAGTTCCTAGCACCAAATAAATGAATAAGAAAATAAGTATAAAAACACTGTAGGGATTCTAATGCTAGAGACACAATGCTATGTTATATTTAAAATCTTCTCAAAAGAATAGAGTTAGCTAGGAACTATTATGTCAAAGTTTAGCACTTAATATTTAGGACAAAATAATGGTTTTAAAGCAGATTTTATACTCTTATTAGATCTTAAAAGCCTTACTTTTCTTCATACAGCAGACATGACATAATTCCTTATCATCTTTGCCATCAGAACTGGCACAAGTACATTCCTCCAAGCCATATTTCTCACAGATAGAACCTGCACATTGCTGGAACAAAAGACAAATTATTTAAACCCTTTATATAGTCAAATGTGCCTATAGTAACAGGCAAGTATAAGCTTCTATGTCAAAATAATTAAGTGCAAATATAACTGAAAAACAAACATAGATCTAGGAATGTGGCTCAGTAGTACAGCAATTACCTAGAATGTACAAAACCCTAGGTTCAATCCCCAGCATCCCTGAACCCCAGCCATGGGGACTCACATAGATGGGTATCAGAACTGAATAATACAAACACATTTGAAAAAGAGTAAATCCAAGTAAGATAATAACTCTTCTAAAGTGATGTCAACAACAACAAAACCCCAACTAAACAAATGCAGAGAAAGATTAGATGAGCATTAATTTTATGTTGGTTATTATGACTCCTCTATATGCAGAGAAAAATGAAATTTTCTAAGTGTAGAGGAATAAGATATTTAGCCATGAAAGCTTTAAAGACTCACATTTAAGGAAAATGACCAGAAAAGTTCTTTTATTTAGGCTGTTAAAATATTAATTTATAAAACTTAAAAGCAGCATAGACAGTCACATGCCTAGCTGTACTATACATTTCTCCAGGGAATACCAAACACATGTCATTGGAAAGATAAAAGACAAATCAGTAGTTAATTGGATGCCAGTAGGCACTCATCCCACATAATACATTCATAACTTCATCTGGGAAGAGATGCGGATGTTGCTGAGAGTCCAAGATTAATTACTTTACATAGCTTTAAGTGTCAACAAATACTCTGAAAAAGTAGTCTCTATAAATACAAAAACATATAAAATCAAATGCTTACCCCATTAATACACACTTGTGTATGCCTATTACAGTCTGTGAAGTTTGGTTTAGGATCAGATGCTGGGCAGAGAGCTGTGCCACCATTACATATCCCTTCTTTCGCACAGTCTGAATCATCACGACACTTCTCAGACTTTGACTTAAATGTACACTGTGCTGTACAACAGGGACCTTGACTTGGACTAGATTAAAAAGTGAATTAAAACAGTGAATCACTAGGTATTTTCTGTATACTCAGAAATGCTTCTGATTTTTAAATCATTAATTTCATCATTTAAATGGTAAAAGTGTTACTGCTACTAGTATTTAAATATTAATAAAACTTGGAAGCTACTGTATTTGAACATTTTAATAAGTGAGGAAAAGTAATTAAGCATCTGCTTTTTAGCCCAAATATGCTATATTCAGTATTCTTACTCTATTTTCCTTTTGTAAAATATTATAATAGAAAATGGATTTAATATTAAGGAAGTTACCAGTGTTTTAATAGTTATATTATACATTAATCAATTTATCAACTTTTCCATTTTTATGCTAAAATCAAACTAAAATACATATACCAGTCATTTAAAAAATATTATACAAACTATATTCTATTGCATATAATCTGTTACTACTGAAGTAATCTGATAAGGCACTAAAGTACTCCATACTAACTAATATTTGAAGTTAAAATTCTAAAAATATGGAAGATAGTCACATTTTTAATGTTAGCAATTAAATAATATGTATTTTATTAAGGAATTATAATTATTTGTTCTTTTTTAACAACCACCACAAAAATTATAAGTAATTCAAACTGCCAACTGGATATTAAATGCCATTCCAGAAAAAGTAAAATGCAACAACAAAGACAAAGTTTCAAAATTATAAGCATCTCTTAATCTGAGTTTTAATCTATCAAAACTGCTTTTAGGTAACTTTACAGGAACATTAACATTACTAGAATTAGTAAGGTACCTGCAGTGTTTTCCAGGTTTTAGTTTGCATTTTTTCCCCTCTGGCTGGTTTGCATCAAAGCAACACTCATCTTTACACTGATCACTATAGCCACAATCGCATTCTTCACCTTGCTCTACCATTCCATTTCCACATATAGGTTGGCCAGATTCTGAGGAAAATAAAAGAAAAGGTAAGCAGTGTTTGCAAACATTAAATTTACTTAAAAGTCACAAACTTACTAGAGCTTTGTAACAAAGGGAGAAAGGAAAACTTTGGTGAATAAGTAAAGAAAAATAAACGAGGAATCCGGAAATCAGGAAACCTAGTTTTAACAATTTAAGAAGCAATGTAACCTCAAGCAAGCAAGTCCCTTCCCTTTTGGCAGCCTCTGTTTCTTAATCTGCATAGTGAAAGGGTTTGAGTTAATGGCCCTTCTAAGGCCCCTTAACCTGCTATTTAGTTTAGGCCACATTGTGTTTTATTGAATAATGACTACTATTTTTAATGTTAGCAACTAAATACCATACCAATGCAAATTAAGATAGTGCTTCATCAACCAGGAAAAAAAAAAAAAGAAAAAAATCATTTTCTTACAGAAAATTTCAAACACATATAAAAGTAGTAAAATAAAAAGCACAATGAACGCTCATGAATGCTGTACTTGTCTCAGTTATTTCCAACATTTTTTTTTTCTGTAGTATTTTAAAACAACCCCACCTAACATAGCATGGTTCCTATAAATWCTTCAGGAAGTACTTTTAAAAGATAAGGATAAAGGATAAGAAGATTTTTCTTTTTTAAACCTAATCATAATAACATTACCACATCTAAGAAAATTAACAGGATGTTTAATAGCACCTAATAGCCAATACACATTCAATTTCCCTCAACTCTCTCTTTACAACTGATTTTAAATCACATTTCCAAACAAGGTTTTCCCAACCCCAATTCCCCACCTCATGGTTTTGCTTTTGGTTGACACATCTCTTAAGATATTTAATATAATGACTTACTCTTTTCATTTTTACATCATTTATTTGTTAAAGAAGTTGGGTAACTTTGCCCTATTAAATGTCTCACATTTTATTGGGCTGACTATAATATAAGCCTCACACATTTGAGGCAAGTGCTCTGCCACGGAGCCACAATCCAAGCCTGCAAATAACTAATTTGAAGTAATAATTCTATGTGAGATGAATATTAATGCATAATAAATATTGTGTCCATTTTCTGACTATCATTTTCCCTTTTCTCCCAAATTATAAAATTCATAGGAATCATAAAACTACTATTGGACTTAAAAAACATTATTACTAAATAATTTCTAAAAGATGTACATTAGTTTTGCTTCTCAGCTAAACCAGGCATCTAGGGAAGAAACATAATATTTATATCTTTTGTATTCCTATACAGCCTAACAATAGTGATCTAGAACTTGGTTAGTTAAGGATAGACAGTATGATCTAAGTACAGTGAATAATTTTAGAAAATTTCTTCAACTCTATTTTAAAATACAAATTTTTGTTGATGGAGTTTAAAATTGTAATAATGGGTTTGATTCCCACTAGTTGCTAGTATGCTAGAGCAAAAAGAATAAACCCAGCATATCCTAGGTATAAATATGAACAAAAAGAATAAACCCAGCATATCCTAGGTATAAAATCTTGTACTCTTTTCTTTCAACTAGACCAAAATCAAAGTGGAAAATAATCAGAGTACAGACTTTAAATGAAAATTAAATGAAGAGAAGGGAACAAATCTCAAATACAGGAACCCTATATATAGTACATCTGAATAAAAACATTCTAGAGAGATTGCCTTTACATTTAGAAAGTTCATTCTTATCCACAACCACACCAACCATTAAAGGAAATTGTAGAGGTTATTGAAATTCCATCCCTCTGTATAATTTTATATCATCTCTTTTGTTCTCTAAAATTAGAAGAATGCATGTGTACCCATATGCAAAGCAATAATGGTTTTCTCAAGTCCAGTAATAGTTTTATAATTCCTATGAATTTTATAATTTGTGAAAAAAGGAAAAAGTGATAGTCAGAAAATGAACACAATATTTATTATCCATTAATATTCATCTCGAATAGAACTATTACTTCAAATTAGCTAGTTGCAGGCTTGGATTGGGGCTCGGTAGCAGAGTGTTTGCCTCATATGTGTGAGGCACTGGGTTTGATCCTCAGCACCACATACATACATACATACATACATAAATGTATTGTGTCCATTTACAAGTAAAAAAAATATTTTAAAAAATTAGCTATTTGCTAACAGCTTAAATACACAGATACTATATAAAATGCAAAAATTAGCCGAGTATGATGGTATACTCCTGTAATTCCAGCCACTTTCGAGGCTGAGACAAGAGGATCCCAAGTTCAAGGACAGCCTCAGCAACTTAGTGAGACCCTGCCTCAAAACCTACAAAAAAATAAGAGAGATGTAGCTCGGTGCTACAGCACCCTTGAGTTCAAGGGTTTAAAAAAAAAAAATTATAGTAGGTACACATTTTATTGTAATTTAAAGAACTAATTTCTTATAATACCTAAAAAGCAACATGCTTACTTGTTAAAATCAACTTTAATCAAAAAGTTTACTATGAAGACTCAATTTATAAAGTAAAGACCCTACCATCTACAAGTACTTCTATATTAAAAAGCAACATAAAAACAGCCCTGATTACAGTAACAAAAATGATAACATTAATGTGATTTCAACCTACCCTTTTATTATTTATTTATTTATTGAGGGTGGGGGTACTGGGGATTGAACTCAGGGGCACAAATGAACCACATCCCCAGCCCTATTTTTTGTATTTTATTTAGAGACAGGGTCTCACTGAGTTGTTTAGTGCCTCGCTTTTTGCTAAAGCTGGCTTTGAATTTGTGATCCTCCTGCCTCAGCCTCCCAAGCTGCTGGGATTACAGGTGTGCACCACCACACCCAGCTCAATCTACCCTCTAAAACGAAGCCTTTAAAAGAAAAGGCCAAAGATTCTGAAATAAAGGATGAAAAGACAAACTACTACAAGGGCTGGGGAAGTGGCTCAAGCGGTAGTGCGCTCTCCTGGCATGCGTGCGGCCTGGGTTCAATCCTCAGCACCACATACAAACAAAGATGTTGTGTCCACCGAAAACTGAAAAATAAATATTAAAAAATTCTCTATCTCTCTTCTCTCTCTCTTTAAAAAAAAAGAAAAAGAAAAGTCAAACTACAGTTTTGGAGAAAATATTTATAAACAATTATCTGATAAATAATTAGTACCTAAATTATATAAAGAAATCTCAAAGTTCAGACTGGGAATGTAGCTTAGTGGTAGAGTGTTTGCTTCGAATGTGCAAGGTCCTGTGTTCAATCCTTAATATCAAAGAGAAAGAAAGAGAGAAAGAGAGAGAGAGAAAGAAAGAGAGAGGGAGGGAGGGGGAGGGGGGGAGAGAGAGAGAGAGAGAGAGAGAGAGAGAGAGAGAGAGAGAGAGAGAGAGAGGGAAATCTCAAAATTTAACAGGAAAAATATCCCATTAGAAATGACAAAAGAAAAAAAATCAATAGGTATTTCACCAAAGAAGACATATAGATGGCAGATAAGCTCATGAAAAGATGTTCAACATCTTTAGTCATCAGAGAATTACAAGTTAAAAGCATGAATATCACTACACTCCTATCAGAAGGGTTCAAATAAAAAAAGTGAAAACATTACACTAGTGAAATGAAGAGAAACTGAATCCAGCCATGCGACCAGCACTCTAGCTTCATACTAGAGGTTCGAAACATAGAAATTAACTATTGAGTTCAAATTAAAGACACATAACTCTCAATTTACCTTTTTCTTGCCCAGCTCAGAGACAGCTTCTCCCAGCTCTTGCCTTTAGCCACCTGATGCAGTAGCGAGGTTTACACAAGAGGCCAGCAAGAGAGAGAGAAACACGCCAGGGAGTGAGCTTTTATTGGGGAACAAAAAATTCAGGGGAAAATTCCATCCAATGAGGGTCGAGGGGGGCAGCATTCCAAGGTCAGGGTCAGTGATTGGTTTTCAGGTCAGTGGTCAGTCACAACCCCACACAGACAAGCCCTTGCACCTGGGGAAGGGTGGGGAAGGCTCTGACACAGCTTGTCTAAGCACCTCACACCCAGCCAGGGAGGTAGCTCAAATCACGTGCAAAAACGGCTTCCCACACTGAATCATTCATACATTGCTGATGAGAATGTAAAATACTGCAGTCACCCTAGAAAACATGTAGTTATATACAAAACAAAACAAGCAATTAACTATATGGACTTAAAGCATTTACCCCAAAGGAAAATAAAAACTTATGTTCACACTAAAAACTTACACATGAATGTTTATAGCTAATTTATTCATAACAGCCAAACTCTGGAAATAGCCTGGATATCTTAACAGGTGAATGGTTAAACAAACTTAAATAGTATCATGGAATACTACTTAAAATAGAAAAGAATAAACAATTGCTACAAAGTACTTAGTTATTTATTGTACTGGGGATTGAATCTAGGTGTGCTTTACCACTAAGCTAACTCCCCAGCACTTTTTTTTAATTTATTTTGAGACAGGGTCTCTCTAAATTGTTAATGAATTTGCAATCCTTTTGAATTGCTGGGATCACAGCACTTGGTTACAAACAAGTTACACAAATCTCCAGGGAATTGTGCTCAGTGGAAAAAAAAAATAGACAATCCCAAAAAGTTATATGCTGTATGATTCCATTTATATAATATTTTGAAGTGACAAAATTACAGAAATAGAGGTTAGTGGAATAGGAGAGTGAATAAGAGAGTGAACAGTAGGCCATGTGCTTATTAATGGGCAACATCCTTTTGCTGATGAAATTGTTATGAATCTTGACTACGATATTGGGATACTTAAATCTATAAATGTGATAGAATTGTGACAGAATTGTATGGAACTAAATAAAGACAGAAATGAAAGCAAAAGAAACTGGGAAAATCAGAATAAGATCTATGGACTGCATATATCAATGAAAGTCTTGTGGTTCTGATATTGTACTATAGTTTTACAAGATATTACCAGTAGGCAAACTAGGTGGAGAATACAGAAAATCTAACTTCTCATAACCTTATGTGATTTTATAATCATCTCAAGGACATTTTCCATTACAAACAAAAGGCTAGGCTTAT